GCACAATTTGTACTTAAATAAGAAAATCTCGTTTGGTATAATTACTACGATTTTTCTATGGAAGGGATGCATAGAGTTATAAGTACTAAAGTTATACATGGAGAATAAAAACGAGAATAAAATGGAATTGAATGATTTGTAAAGAAGTGACTTTGTAAAGGTAACCTAGAAATAATTACATGACGGTGCAGCAACTCTTTTCAGAATGATTATCACCGACAATGTCGCTAGTATTTCCAGTGAATCGTTGAAAATCTCTGCTAGCGTTGAGCTCGGTATTGGAGATAGGCGACACGGAAATACCATTTCCATTGGCATCGATCGATCCGGCGGATATATGTCGATTCTGTGCTCTCTGTTTCTTCAAGTCCGATAACGATTTGACAAAAACTACCGAGACATGTATGTTGATCTTGCCGTTGGTGTCGCTGTCTGATGCGTAGATTGGCTGTTGATTACCGATTGGTGAGTCGGACCCTGTCACTACCGAGGCAAACATGTAAATCCAATGCTACTTCCTGTTTCCTCTGCGGTTTACGCGACATTTGCTTTCATTCCATTTCACCTTGCATAACCCTCCACCTAATTCCCTTTTCCTTTTCTTTTCTTTTTTTTTTTATACACATTGAAATGGCACTCCAAAAGAAACTCGACTAGTATGAAAACTAGCAGCCATGCGCTAAGCGGCACATGCTTTAGCAATAAGCATTAGAAACATTGCACGACGGAGCTCCAGAGACATAACCTCTAAACATATTCTACATAAAAACATCTTTTATCCTTTTGTTTCCTACTTTCTATCGCATTTATTATCATGTTTTCAGACTTTTTTTTAGGAGAAAGAAGAAAGTTCTTGATAAGGTGACTCGGTTCCTCTTTGCTCCGATAAAAAGTAGATAACGAGTTACATTCTTTTTTTTTTCTTTTTTTGTTTTATCGATTTATTACAATGTAAACTAAACCTTCTAAAAGATTTTTATGAAGATTTTATATGAATGCATCCATACAAATTTTTGGTATTATGAAAGATAAAAGATTTAGTTTACAGCTTAGTATTTGTATGCACTGAATTTGTGTACAGAAATATGTACATATAAAGAGAATGATAGTTGAATTCTCTGGAACACTGAATTTTCGTAGAAATATGTATTGATATCATTTTTAGCTGTGTGTCAATGTCCAAACATATTTTTATTATGATGAAATATTTCAAATCAATCATAATTTGAACTGCTGCTTTGATTCGAACAAAAATGTAATAAAATTTATTAAAAATTTCTAAAATTTCTAAAATATAATAGTGAGTATATAATAGCAACGTTACTATAAATTTTTATTATTTTCATGAGACAACAAGTACATTATATGATATTAAATATCAACATTTCGTGTCAACATTACTAACATTTACAGTAATAATTAACAATTTAAATATATATTAAAATATTTAACAAATTTTCAATTGTATAATTTTTTACTTTAAACTAAAACAAATGTAATATTTAGTAATTTCACATTTTATCAGTATGATTGATTTGATGTGGAATCTATAATAGAATCTTATTGATAATATAAATATATGAAATATAATATCGTGACACAACTGACCTCATAACAACTTTATCGTTTAGCGATAAAACAAAAAGACGGGAAGACACATCACGCGAGTACGTAACTAACATTGAGTGAATACAATTAATCATTAGCACAACTAACATATTAGGTGTGTGAAAAAGTTCTACTTTTAATTTTCTTAATTTTATTTTGTATTGTTGGTATGTAAGTTTCTCACGTTATGAAACAAACATTATAAAATATGTATGTGGAAAATAGTAAATATTAAACTGCTTTGTTATCGAGACGTAAAAATAAAAAAAATAAATAAATAAATAAATAAAATAAATAACTTAGCTTATTTTAAAAATACATACATGTATGTGTAAATAACACTAATTATTCTCTGATCTTGATTACTGTTAAATGTGAATAAATTCAGAATTCTTGATTACTGTTAAATGTGAATAAATTCAAAAATGACAGAACTTTTCACAAACCTATATATATATATATATATGTATATT